TTCCCTCCTCCAGCCACCGACAGGCACCCAGGACCTGGGCTGTTCCCTCCTCCAGTCACCCGCAGGCCTCAGGACCCAGACTGGCTTCTGTCAGGCCGCCCACAGGCACCCGGGACCCGGGCTGGCTTCCCTCTGGCCCCAGCTTTGTTGGGAAAGATGTCTGGAATGGCGTCCGGAAGGATGTCCAGTCTAATTAGCATGTTATCCTTTTATCATTATAGACTAGAGGCCTGGTGCATGAAATTCATGTACTGGAGTGGGGGGTCCATCAGCCCGGCCTGTGCCCTCTTGCAGTCCAGGAGCCCCGTTATTAATTGCCCCAAGGAGGTAGGCCCCGCCCACCACTCAGTGCCATAGGTCGGTGGCCTGGGCCTCCCTCTGCGGGGCGATCATGGGGCAACAGCAGGGCCCCCTACCCATTGCATCACACCTGCCTTGGTTGGCCTGGTGCCAGTGCATGTCATAGTGTGGTCATCTGGATGGTCGTTCGCTATTCGGCCGTTCGGTCAATTTGCATATTATGCTTTTATTATAATAGATACCTACATGTGCAAAGCATATTATTTATTCAATTGACAATAAGTCTTCTGTGTACATATAGTTTCCAGGGGTCTTTGCAATAATTCAGAAATTCTCACCCCAGAAGGCTGCAGCCCACCAGGCTAGGAAACATTGTTTTAGTATAATACAGAGAGGAAAAGAGTTTGCTTTCTAGGGTGAAGCACCATATAAGGAATGCAATCATGGAGTATTTGGGTAGGAAAGAGGGGCATTTTATCCAGGAAGAGAAAGCATGAGGGAAATTTTGAAGCTAGGGTAATCAACTAGATATGAGATGACAAGAACTTCAAGAAGTAGGGGAGTAATCGGAATGGAAAGAAAGGAATGGATATGTAAGACAAGGAAAAAAACACATCGGAATTAGTGACTGATTAGACAGAAAGGGGAAAGAAGTCACCAACCTAGTTGCTCTACTTTAGAATCCCTGCTGTTCATCCATTATGTGGCTTCTGGCTAGAGAAAAGGCCAAAGAGGAACCCCTGAGGAACATCCTTGACCTACATAGAAACTTACCTGAAATATTTTCAGAGTCTGAGATTCACCCTCACTCTGACCTATTTCACCCTGCCTCACCCAAATCTCTTAACACTCTAATAATTTCCATGGTAAGCCCAACAAGAACACCATTTAAAGTTCCTATTGAGCTTGGTCTGCTAAAGCCAATGAGATTCTCCATGTTGGCCTGGGCCTGGAGACTAGAAAAAAAGTAATATTGGACCGAAGCCACCTGTTTTTATTAACCCCTTCCCTGGGCTCTCTTCAGCCTTTGATGAGGGGCAGAGCATAAGGTGATTTGACCAGGACCAAAGGGTTGGGTTAAGCTCGACTGGAATAATGAGGGCAGTTTGATCCTCTGGAGAGATCAGAAGTTTGACAACTTGTTCAATGCATCGTGCAAGGTAAGGAAACCAAAAGACCCCTCCCCCAAACACTAGGACTGTAGCTGGGGCTAGAGGTCATAAAAACCACTGAGGTCATAGAAGCCTCCCTCTCTTACCCTGTCTCCCCACTGCCAATAGTCCCCCACCCCCAGCTGCCTCCCACATATGCACACACTTACATAAAAAGGTTAGGAAGGGTCAGACACCATCTGGGAACCCTTAGGTACCAAAAGGGGTGACGTGGGTGGTGGCAATGATTGCTCAGAATGTAGGGTGCATACTAGTATCCCTAGTGCTAGGAATAGTAGGTGGGAAGAGGGGAGAGAGGAACAAGGAGGAGGGGTTTTGTTCCTGTTGCTGATTCAGATTTAACTCCCATCCTTCTTACTTCCCAGTCCTCCCTTCCCTCCTCCTTCACCCTCCCCCCAGTCTCTCCCCCTACTGTCCTCTCCCACCTCCAATTGATCATGGCATCAGAAGCAGAAAAAACATTCAAACGGTTTGCTGTCTTCGGAGAATCATCAAGCAGTGGCGTTGAAATTAACAACAAAAACTTCTCCAAGCTGTGCAAAGACTGTGGCATCATGGATGGCAAGATGGTCACTTCCACTGATGTGGACATCGTGTTCAGCAAAGTCAAGTAAGTGACCAAAGATGGGAGTAGAGGTCATGAGCAGAACCAACAAGATAGTGAGACATGGAAGGGTTTATGTGATAGAACATCTGTAATGGGTCTACTGAGCACCTACTGGTTACTGTGCACTATTTATTCTCTGTCCTCAAGACATTCAGTGACCAAGACTGAGTAAGGGGAGGGTTGGACCTTGGCAGGTGATGAGTTCATGTTCCAGAGTTCCTGGATTTTTTTCTTACTGACCAGGGACAAGACTGCACGAACCATCACATTTGCACAGTTCCAGGAAGCAATGAAGGAACTGGGCCAGAAGCGGTTTAAGGGGAAGAACCCAGATGAAACCCTAGAGAACATTTATAAACTCATGGAGGGCAAGGATCCAGCTACCCCTGGTGTTACTGTGAGTGATAGTCTTCATCCCTTATACTTGACCCTGCTTCCCTGCTACTCTGTCTCCGCTCCCACCCTCTGATGACCCTAATGCCTGCCAACAGAGGGGAGGCAGGGCAGAAAGCCTCTGGGGGCACTGTTGGTACTGGAATGGACTTCAGAGATCATCCAGTCATTTCAGAGGTGAGGAAACTGTGGCCCAGAGAAGGGAAGTGACTTGCCCAAGGTCCACAGTTATTTTATTTTTTTTGTTCATCCTCACCCTAGGATATTTTTCCATTGATTTTTAGAGAGCGTGAAAGGGAGGGGGAGAGACAGAGAGAGGGAGACTCATCGACTGGTTGCCTCCCACACACACGCCGGGGATTGAGCCTGCAACTGAGGTATGTGCCCTTGACTGGAATTGAACCTGAGACTCTTCAGTCCTCCAACCAATGCTCTATCCACTGAGCCCAACCGGCTAAGGCCCACAACTATTTTAATAGCAAAATTTAGACTCATTCTCAAGTGTCCAGTATGTGAGCCAGGCAACTAGGGCCTGGTGGATACTGCAGAGGACTTGGTATCTGATCCCCACTCTTCTTCCTTGCACTTATATAAGGTTTCTGGCTTTCTGCCTCTCACCACCCTCTATTCCGTATTTGTCCCCTCTCTCCTGAAAGCTCTTTCTACTCTAGATTTCAAATAGGACCTTGCAGTAGGAAGAACCTTGCATATTGGATCTGGGGTTGAAGTCTCCTGGCTATAGCCTCATCAAAATAACTCCACTGGCCTGCCAGGTGGCTCAGTCAGTTGGAGTGTTGTCCCATACACCAAATGGTTGCATGTTCGATTGCGGGTCAGGGCACATACTAGGTTGCAGGTTCAATCCCCCATTGGGGTGCATATGGGAGGCAACCGATTGATGTTTCTCTCACACATCAATGTTTCTCTCTCTCCCTTCTCTCTCTCTAAACAAACAAAAAAATATCCTCGGGTGAGAATTAAAAATAATAATAATTAAAAAAAAATAACTCCTCACCTGGCTGGTGTGGCTCAGCAGTTGAACATCAACCCATGAACCAAGAGGTTGATGGTTTGATTCCCAGTCAGGGCACATGCCCAGATTGTAGGCCCAATCCCCAGTAGGGGGCATGGAGGGGGCAGACAATCGATGTTTCTCTCTATCTCTTGACCTTTCTTTCACTCTAAAAAATCAATTTAATATATTTTCTAAAATAATAATAACTCCTTTGGAAGCAGAAAAAATCCACACACAGTCCACTCACTCCCATACACCAATGGATGGCTCTTGCCATCGTTTTTGCCCACAGCCACATCTGGGCCCTGAAAAAGCAGCACCACGCCATTGGTAGAACAAGAGCTCTGAGCCCTAGGGAATCAAAGACCATCTTAAGAGAAGGGGTCTAACTGTGGAGGGAAAAGGAGAGGGATCAGACTTATCATCCTCTGGCTTACAGAAAGCAACAACCGTGGGCGGAGTGAGCCGGCTGACAGACACCAGCAAGTACACTGGCAGCCACAAGGAACGCTTTGACGAGAGTGGCAAGGGCAAAGGCATAGCAGGACGGGAAGAGAGGAGCGAAAACTCAGGCTATGTGAGTGCCTACAAGGGTGCTGGCACCTATGATAAGAAGAAGGAGAGTAAGTAGGGAGTAACCTCATCTTAGCCTGCCAGCCCTTGACCCAGCATCTTTAATACTGGGGAGCTCAGGAAACAATAAATATGTGTGTGTGCAGCAGCTAATGAACTCTGTCTTCAGCGAGGGAAGGGAAGGGTGGACTCATGGGGGATGGGGGGATGAGGGGGGAAGAAAGAGAGAGAGAGAGAGAGAGACAGACAGACAGACAGACAGACACGCGAGAAGAGAAAGCCCAAGGAGTCAGGGTTTCCAAATCTCCATCTTTTTCCCTACTCAGCCTGATGCCCCGAGCCAGAGTTAGCATTCTCCTCAACAACTGCTTCTAAGATCAGGTCTGAGGAGTATATTCGGAGATAAGAGATGAACCAGATGTGGAGATAAAGTATTCGCTACTTGCATTCACACACCACTGACATTCAACCTCCTCTACCTGCCAAAGGGGAATAGAACTTCCTGATTTGATGTAGAATGACCCAGATATCACCAACCAGACCTCTGTCCTTCCACCTTCCTGATCTGCTGCAATCCACATTTCATTGTGGGGAGAAACAGAAGCCAGCTAGGGTGGGCCAAGGATCTTCTTAGTCTGACTGCTATTATGAGTTTGTTCCAGAGCTAGGGGGAGGGAGAATCCATTTTCATTACTCAGCTGGAAGTGAGTTTTACCCCTCCACGCCTCCATCATGGTTCACCTGGAACAGAAGATCCTACTGACAGCTAAAGGTAGCCCAGGAAGATGGCCAGAGTGGTCGTTTTAATGCACTAAGAAAAAAGGAATGAAATCAGAACTGAGTCAGATGTGTTTTTTATCTTTTTTATTTTAAAATGATTATGGATTCACAGGAAGATGCACTAATAGTGCAGAGAGGTCCCATGTACACTTTAACCGGTTTCATCCAATGGTTCTAGCTTACACAACTCAGATGTAGCTTTAAAACCTTCTGTGACTACATCTAGGCCCACCTCACCTATTTTGTCAGCAGCAGATCTTAGAGTCTAGAGAACATCAGGAGGAGCTTTGGGAACAGGATGCAAGAATCTTGGGAGGAGCGGGGATAGGCCAGAAAAAATAACTTTAAACTTCAGTGAGCCAAGGTGAGAATTGTGGAAAAGAAGTTGGAGAAGACAGGGTGACTAAAGGAGGCTGGGAGTGTAGGGGAGAGACACTGGGTTCCATGGTAGAAGGAGAGAGGAAAGAACAGGTTACATGAAGAAAATGATTTCATGGAGAGGAGCAGACAGGGAACTGCGAGGGGGTTCTAGGGATATGAGGCTAAAATTCACCTAAAGGTCTCAGGGAGGTCCCTAAAGCTAGGATATCCATTATGTGCGTGAGTGGAGAGAGTCATAGGGAAATGGGGAAGACTGAAAAGAGAAGGGTGGTGGGGATAGGGAGTCGAAACATCGAGCTGGTGCCTGTTGCCATGGTGTGAGCTGAGGCTCTGGGCCTCCATCCAGGATTCAGTATCTGGCCCAGTGGATGGACAGGCACTGCCAACTGGACACACTCGGCTTCTTGGGTGGGTAAAACTGTCTCTGGGAGAGGGCGGATGATGCGGAAGAGGAGAGGTAAACAAGCTGGAAAGAGCCTAAAAGACGGTATGATTTTGCATGGTGACTAAAGCTCTGAACATTTTTTCTACCTCCCTGGTCTCTTTGGAGGGAACCCTGCCTACCCTCAAAGTCAGGGGGAAGCATTGTATCAGGAATCAGAGTTTTGAAAAGGGGGACAGGCTGGTCGTGGTGGCAGTAGAGGGTGGTTCACAGGGAAAGCCTCCCTTCCCTAGTAGAGGCCAATGATACCTATTGGTTTAGCATCATACTTTTGGGAACAGAGCAGGTACAGCCTTTGGTTGTTTAGGGTGCTATTGTAGCGGCAGCTGGTGGGTGGCTGTTTGGTCTCCAGAGAGCAGATTGTGAGGGGAAAGGAGTCCTCAGAGAGTGTACAGTATTCATTGTAATTCTCACAGAAGCTCTCGCAGTACTTGCAGGACTTCTCAATGTCCGTCCAGGGAGCATGTATCACATAATGCCTCTTTGGGCAATACCAGCTTTGCTGTCTGCCCCTCACATAGGCCATCAGACCATTACAGTAGCCCTGGAAACCCTCTGGGTAGTTAACCTTGGGATAGTCAATGTGCATGGTTCGAAAGTTCTGGATGGCAACCTCTATGCTGATGTCCATGACCAGAGTTGGTCCTTGAACAAGCTGGAGGAACAGGAGCCAGGCCACAGCTGGTGCCATTCTTCCTGCTGGTAGAGTTAAGGTGGTTGGAACCAGAGGTGGGCCTGGAGTGGCTGTCTGCCCCTTCCTGGAGCCTCCAGCATGTACCCAGCCTTCCCTGTGTGCCTTCCCCTAAATCTAAGAGCTGGAGTGTACCTCAGAGATCATCCAGCCCTAGACCTCATGCCCATGAGAGAGGAGACACCCCAGATCACCCAGCTGGTCAACCACCTTCAGCCATTCCCCCCTTCCCTTGGTCTCAGCCTCATCCAGTCATGAGCTGTAACACTTACAGAATAAGAGGTCCACCTGGTCCTTGGGTGAGCAATTCTTCTTGATTATCCCTGGTCCCAGTGAACCCTTCTGGGGGGAAAAAAAAAGAAAAAGAAAAGCAGAGGCAATAGAAGGAACAGGCTAGCTACGATTCTCTGATTGCTGTGGAGGACAGACAGGATCTGGAAGATGAGCAGGGCAACAGGCAAGGTTTCTTCATGCCTGAGGCCAAGGACAGCCCAAAGGTGAGAAGAGGCTGGGTTGGTTTCTAGATAAAGGCCCCGGCTGGGAGGAGGGAATGTCCCCTGACTTTGAGGAGCCCCTGTGCTATGGGGGTTGGATGGATGGGAAGAAAGAGACATTACAATCTGGTTTCCTCCTTGCTGGTGTCATAAGAACACTTAGTTCCAGCCTCCTTGCCAGAAGTGCTTAAGTTCTTGGGTTTTCTTTGATGTTGATAGGCCCTGTTTTTGCGGATAGGTGAGAAGAAAAGTACTGTCCTGTTTCTGAGGAACAAAGTGATGCTTATTCCCGACCCTTAGAGAACAGAGCGTCTGCCACTCTCTCAACCCACTCACAGGAGCCCACGCACATGCAAGAGCCTCCCACCAGAGTGATGATGCACTGATAATCAAAGATGTCTTTGTGGACCTCCCACAGTCCCCATCACCAACTTCACAACAATCACAGCGATAACAATCATACTAATCTCTCACCTGTAACCTCAGGCCCTTTTGGAGTTAGGGCACACCTGGAAATTTTTGCTTGATGACCCTGAAGCCTCCAGATTGTCCATTGGGTAGACAGTGTAGTTTGGACTGAGGGGGTGTGGCCCACATGAGCCCAGCGGATCAGATTCTTGCTATTGTTTGTCATGTTGCGAAAGGGCTGGGCTCCTAACTCCCTTTTTCATTAACACCTGCCCCTTCATCAGAAGCAACAAACCTGCCAGCCACAGTCCTTGACTTCCACAGGCCCTTCGCCAAATCTCCTGGCAGAATATGATCCAAGGTGTGGGCTTCCTCTCAGGAGAGCCTACCACAGTCTCCCTGGAGAGCAGAAGTAGGGAGTCAGACAGCAGAACTCTGAGTGCTCCAAGGCCAATGTGTAGTTCAGGAGGGGGTGCAGAGAGATGTACTCATTCGTAGTCCCCCTAACTTGCTCTTTCTGACAGCACAGACTAGAGTCCAAAACTGAACGCATCCTTTTCACAACTTGCTTCTCCTCCTGCAACGTCTATCTCGGCTTCCTCAGTTACCTATACGAGAAAATTGAGTTATCTTCCTCCCTCTAACCCCACCTGTGAGGAGGCAGTACCTACATGATGGTTAAGAGCAAGGCTTTCGAGTAAAACAGACCAGAAATTGAATCCTGCTCTGCTGTTTGCAGGCTGTGCACCGTCAATCTAAGTTTACTAAAGCACCGTAAACCTCAGTTTCCTCATCGGTTAATCAGGATAATATTTTATTCCTATGGCAGTATTAGAATTCATTCATTAAGATGTATATCAAGCCCTAACCGGTTTGGCTCAGTGGATAGAGCGTTGGCCTGCGGACTGAAGGGTCCTGGGTTCGATTCCAGTCAAGGGCATGTACCTTGGTTGCGGGCACATTCCCAGTAGGGGGTGTGCAGGAGGCAGCTGAGTGATGTTTCTCTCTCATCAATGTTTCTAACTCTCTATCCCTCTCCCTTCCTCTCTGTAAAAAATCAATAAAATATATATATTTTTTAAAAAAAGATGTATATCAAGAGCTTTTAGTCCAGTGCCTGGCACATGTTGAGTACTCAAAATGAGCAGGAGTCCATCGGTCAGGTAGCCCTGGAACTCTTTTCTAAACTTTTCCTAAACCCATCCCTTCCACCCCTATTTCTTCCCCTGCTTGGTCTCTTCCCTCTCCTGGACACCACACACACTCCAACTCCAATAAGGCTCTACACCTCATAGGATGTAAGACTTTCCATGATCTGGCCCTTGCCATGCCTCCAACTGCACCTCCCTGCCTGCCTGCTTCTCCCACAGTGCCCCCCTCACCCCCATGTCCTTGTCCATGTCGTCTCCTCCTCCCACTCCTGTCTCTATCAATTCCACTGAGCTAGCGCATAGGAAGACTCCGCCCAGAGATCCTATATAAGAGCCTCTACTTGGAAGACCTCTCTAGGGAAGTGTGCACAGCCAAGCAAATGAGGGGAAAGTCGACACAGGCAAGTGGCTCATCTGTGTCCTTCAGGCTGGTCTACAAGCCAACACTGATGGGAGCCAATGCATGGAGGTACTGGGGCCTAGCTGATTCAGGTCTTTGTTTTGAGGAAGCTGACTATATTATGTGGTCCCCACCTCAAAGCCTGCCACCTCTTTCCTGTTTTCTCAAGGCTGCAACTTCCCTATGAGGAAGGGAACTTTCATGTCTCTTGGTCTTCCTCTTTCTTCATTCGCTACCCACCCACCACCACTCCCCTCTGCACACACACTTCTAGAGTAGAATAGCACATTGTAGAGGAAAGAGTTCGGAACTTGATATTGGATAACCTACTGAGTTTCTGTTTCCTCTTCTATAAAATGGTATTAATACCTTCCTTACCTCATGAGGCTATAAGAATAGAATGAGATGGTCAGCATGCAAGTGCCTCTAACTATTAAACAGTATTTAAATGGATAACTGGGGATGGTCTCCTAGGTTCCATACCAACTCACCTTTTTCTGGATATCTGCAAAGCTTCTTTCAGAAGCTTTCATTCCCCGAAAGAGCCAAGTCTGTCCCCATCCCCACTCTGCCAATCTAGAACGCCATCTAACACTTAAAATTCATCTTTACAAAGCTTTCTATCATTAGCCATGCCCCATGTTGATTACTCTAAAATATTTTTAAATAATTATTTAAAATATCATCGGAAGAGCACTATGACAAATTTTGGGGAAATATAAAGGTAAATAAGATAGTTCCAGTCCAGATTAAATTTACAACTCAATAGAAAAGACACACAAATGAGCATATGTTACAAAGGAATGAGCCACAGGGCCAGGAAAAGTACTGATTGTGCAATGGGCCTTTGGTTTTCAAACTGCCATTCAGTGGTCTGGTCTTTAAAATCCTATCCTAGAGTATTGATCCCCATAGGATTGCTTTTTCCATTCAATTCTGACATTCTTGTCAAGGTTTCATCTGCTCCCTCAGCCTGAGATGGAATTGTTATCCCATTACACTGGACCTTACATACACAAGAATTATCCTAGAGATGAAGAAACTACGTTTTAGAGAGGGACAGCAGCTGGCTCAAGATCATAAGTCTAATTCAGTAGTTCTCAGCAGGGGACAATTTGGACATGTCTGGAGACATTTTTGGTTGTCACAACTGGGAAGTGCTACTGGCATCTAGTGGGTAGAAACCAGGGATGCCACCAAACATCCAACATTGCACAAGACAGATCCCATAATAGAGAATCATCCAAACTAGAATGTAAATAGTGCTGAGATTGAAAAATTTGGTCCAATTGGAGAATCAGACTTCCTAACAAGTGCAAACTTACTTATTATACCTTACTAGTATATATTAAAAAGGGTTGGTAAATATCCAGGACTTAGAAATATGTTTGTTAGATTTTGCTTGTAATGGTACTGGTTTTTCTACCAGCAAAAGGAGTACTGATAGTTCACCATTGAAACAATTTTGAATTACTTTTCTTATAAAGATGACCCTATGCATGTAGTCATCTATACATTTTTTCCTCCACTCCTCCCCAAGGGTAAGCATTTCTAGAACAACTGGCTAGAGTAGGAGGCTCAGGGGTAATTTCCTAGGGTTGAAGAGAACGCCCAAAACTTTTCCCAGAGTGAGCTCACCTCGATCTCAGTGGCATCACTTTTTGCCCTGCTCAACTCAAATTACTCAAACAGCACACTGTGTCATAGACAGTTCCTGGGTTGTCCTTGAACTGAAAGGATGGCTTCAACCATCTCAACTTCTTGTCATAGCTTCACCTCAATTTTGGTGGTAATACCTAGGAGCTGCATTGTCAGTTCCTCAATCTGCTCACTGGCACTAAGGATTGGTCATGATTCCATCTGGGACTGGGATCATTCAGGGGCAGAGTGAATGCCTTCCAACTCAGAAGCTGAATCGGTTTGGGTCACTTATCTGCAAGGCATTATACTGTATCCTATGGGAGGTGTAACAGCCTTGGCTGATGTGGCTCAGTTGATTGGGGCATCATCCCATATACCATCAGGGCACATATTTGGGTTGTGGGTTCAGTCCCTGATCAGGCTGCAGGCAAGAGGCAACAATCTCTCCTCTCTCTCTCTCTTTCTCTCTCTCTCCCTCTCTCTTTCCCTTCCTTCTTCCCTTCCTCTCTCTAAAATAATTTTTTTAAAAGAAGCGTAACAGATGGTCCTTGTCTTCTGGGAATTGACAGCCTAAATTGAAGGAAAATAATAAATTCATGTGAAGAAATAACCAACGGTTCAAAGCACAAAATGATACATTTTAAAGACAGTAATGTAGGAATTTAGAGGTAAGAATTTATTTACTTTTTAAATATATTTTTATTGCCTTCAGAGAGGAAGGGAGAGGGAGATAGAAACATCAATGATGAGAAAGAATCTTTGATCGGCTGCCTCCTGCACGCCCCTTACTGGGGGATCAAGCCCACAACCTGATCACGTGCCCTTAACTGGAATTGAACCCGGGATCCTCCAGTCCGCAGGCCAACACTCTATCCACTGAGCCAAACCAGCTAGGGCAAGAATTTAGAGGTGAGAAAGATCCCTCTAAATTGGGAGAATCGGGAGCAATTTTGGGCAGTAAGGGTCATCCTGAAACCTTGGGGTGGGTCTCAAGGAACTGTTAAGAGTTAAGTGGTGATAAAGAGAATTATGAAAAGTAGTATAGTGAGAGAGAGAGAGAGAGAGAGAGAGAGAGAAGAGAAGAGAGAGAGAGAGAGAAGAGGGAGAGAGAGGAGAGAAGAGAGAGAGAGAAGAGGGAGAGAGAGAAGAGAGAGAGAGAGGAGAGAAGAGAGAGAGAGAGAAGAGGGAGAGAGAGAACCAGCCTGGCGAGGGTTGAGGCACTCAGTGGAAGAAAAGTCAGAGATAAAGTTGGAAAGACAGGTTTGCCAAATGCGGCAGACCTTGACTATGAGGCTAAGGAATTTACAATTTATTCTGTAGGTAAATGAGGAGCTGACAATGAATGGCCTCTCATAAGGGAGGTCTCAAGCCCAGGTCAGGTTCCCCTCTCTTACATCCTGGCTTGACTAAACACACTGTTCTGGGAGCCAAAGATTCCAACCTTCTGTCAGTACTGCCTCCTCTAGACCCACAGCTGTTTCAGGAAAGGTCATGAGAATTCCAAGACCCAAAGCAAGTTTCACATCTGACCCTAACTTGCTGTTTGTTTCACTTTCCTGCCTACACAAATGAGCCCATTACCTTTATTTACCCTGGGAGCAACAAAACCAGGATAACAGAACTCTGATCTGCTCCTGCTTGGAGGGAAACTCTCACGGGCTTTCCATCGGTATCCAGAGGCTGTGTGGAACTCCGGGAGAGAGGCAGGCTGGGCTCTGAAGGGCGGGCACCTTTCCAGGCCCAGCCCTGCCCTCTCCCAGGCCCCCACCCCCTCTCAGCGCAGGCCAGAGGAAGCAGCAGCTGTTGTCCTATGGGGAAGACAGGCAGAGGTCCACCTGGCACTGCTGGGGTTTGCACAATACCTGCCCCAATGACTTTAAACACACACACACACACACACACACACACACACAACACAACACACACACACACACACACACACACACCCCAGTAGCCTGGAGAACTTGGGCCAAGAGCAGTCAGCAGGGGTGGGCAAACTTTTTGACTCGAGGGCCACAATGGGTTCTTAAACTGGACCGGAGGGCCGGAACAAAAGCATGGATGGAGTGTTTGTGTGAACTAACATAAATTCAAAGTAAACATCATTACATAAAAGGGTACGGTCTTTTTTTTTTTTTTTTTTTTTTTTTTTAGTTTTATTCATTTCAAATGGGCCAGATCTGGCCCGCGGGCCGTAGTTTGCCCACGGCTGGATTATGGTGATCAAATGAGAAGGAGGCTGGGGTAACTAGCTACCTCATAACCCTGGATAAAGTCTGCTTGTGTGAGGGGATTTCTTCCCTCCCGTCTTCTCTCCCACCATTTTGTCTTCCGCTCTCCTTTCTCTAAATTTTCTCTCCTCCCTTCTGCCAGACTCCCTGACCAGCCTTGAGCCTGATGCCTGACTTCTTTTGTTCTCCCTAACCTTGTCTCCCCCTTCCTCCATCTTTTCCTCTTGCCCCATACATGTAGTGAAGGAAAAAGGGCAAAATTATCTTACCAAGTGCAAAGTGAAGCAGCTCTTGGGAGCTGGATAGTTAAGGCAAATAAAACCACTTGCCTTATCCAAATAATTGAGGCAAAGTAAGGGGTTTTAGCTTGAATCGTGCAGATGGTACGTCAACTTCCCAGATTTTGTATGCAAGCCTAAACCTATACGCTCTTTTCCCTTTGACCTCAGACAGTAGGGCTATGTTTATTCTTTTTTTAAAATATATTTTATTGATCTTACCAAGTGCAAAGTGAAGCAGCTCTTGGGAGCTGGATAGTTAAGGCAAATAAATAAAATCACCTGCCTTATCCAAATAATTGAGGCAAAGTAAGGGGTTTTAGCTTGAATCGTGCAGATGGTACGTTCAACTCCCCAGATTTTGTATGCAAGCCTACACCTATACGCTCTTTTCCCTTTGACCTCAGACAGTAGGGCTATGTTTATTTTACCTTCACATAGCACCAAGGCAGCCTTCTGGAGAACCCAGCATAATGGAGTTGAGCAAACTAGGATCATTCCAATGACAGGAAAACACAAGCGCAGATGGCAGTGCAAGTCGTGGTTGGGAAACATCTCACTCTAGAATGATGCGAAGTGAGAAGGAGTCTGGGCTAGGAATTTCAATGAGCTCTTGGATTCCCACCCGCTCCTGTAACTCCAGCCTCCAGCCCAGGGCTGGCCTGGCCTGTGCTGATCTGCTTTCTATCCACAATCTGCTTTAAACCATGGATATTATCTCCACACATTTGCATTTCTACAGCAGCAGAGGCATAATTCTTATCCAGAAGTTCAAACTGCAGAGATTCAGGCACCTTAACAAAGCAGTGAGTACCCAGAGCCAAGGCCTCGCTGAAGGTGAGCCAGAGGAGCCAGTGGGCAGTGAGGAACTTGCTCCTGGCTCTCGGTTGCCATCTGGTGGTGTTTCCCACCTCTAGCACCACATTTTCTTCCGAAGTTCCTTCGTGGGGACCCACAACAGAGCTATTTACTAAAATGACGTCCCCCTCGCCTCAAAACAAACACCCAAATCTTCCTGACTCAAATCCTAACTTCTGGACCAGAACTCATACCTTATGATCAAGATGGTTTACGTGGCCTCTCTATGGTTGCAATCCACACAACAGCCAGGGGATCTTTAAACAGATAGGCCTTTTACTCCTCTGCTGAGAACCCTCCCAGGGCTCCTCAGTGCACAGAGCAGAACCTCAGTCCTCTGAGGTTTGCCATGGTCCGGCCTCTGGTCCCTGCTCAGCCACACTGGACCCTGGATGTCCTCCAGCACCCAGGCATGTCTGTCTGTGTTGGGGCCTTTACAGTGCGGTTCTCCCTACTTGGAGCCTTTTCCCGAGGCAAGCACAAACTCACTCCCCTTCAAGTCTTTGTCCCAGAATCACCTACTGCAATGACCTTATTTAAAAATCGCTGCCTACCAACTTCCATCCTGTTCTACTTTTTTCCTTCGCAACTATCACTTTGAACAAAGGCTATATATTTCTACTGTCTTTCCCTCAATGAAATGTAAGCTCCACAAAGATAGGGATTTTTGTCTCTTTTTTGTTCACTGATATATTCCAAGCACTTTGGCACATAGCAAGGGCTCAATAAAAATTTCTTGACTACATGAATGAGCATGAACTCAGTATTCTGAGATCACCTACTACTTACAGGTGAATCCTGAGAACAAAAATACTGTTCATCTCAGTTTTCCAGGCCTTCCCAACCATAGAGTGATGCTTCCCTGCCTCAGTGTCCCAGTTCTTCTGAGCGCTACAGGCCAAGCTCACTGGAGCCCCCAGAGCGGCACTGATCCAAGTTTTCTACACAGATGTCACTATCACACGGCAAAGGAAGGCCCAAGGCACCACCGCCAACAGCACTTTCAAATTTGGACAATGTTTAAGTTTTACAAAGTTTAATAAAGTAGGGAGAGGAAGAGTGAAGGGTAAGAGGTGTTGGGTGCCTCCTTCAGGTAGATCCAGGTGGCCTTGCTCAGCACCTGGAGGTGAGAGAGCCAGAGGAATAAGTCACCGTGGAATAGCTGGGTTGGGATGGTGCTGGCCACGGTGACTGTGATCATTTGTCCACTTCTCTGTCTTCTCTATCTCCTCTGAAAAATAAGCAGAAAATCCTGATGACAGGCTATTCTTTCTGTAGCTCAGGTCAGAGAAAAAGCAATTCTTATCACCACAGTAGTTGGTTGTTCCCAGAATCCTGAACCAGAGTGTATATAAGTGAGGAGATAAATGACAGCTCTCCCTGAAATTCATTTTGGGTTAACACCTGGGTCAAGTGCTTTATTAGAGTCAATAAAACCACGTGGCCAGAGGCCAAGTCTAGTCTTTGAGTGTGAAGATTCAAGATTCCTCACTGCCCAACAAGTTTAGGCAGGTACACTAGCTCCATAGCTATCAGCTTATTTGGGATATGTAAGCGGAGAGGCGCGCACCTGATTCATTTCCTGATACATGACTGCTCCCCAGCCCGCCCCCAAACTGACGCAATGTAGCCCAGGCCCGCTTTTAAGGAGCCAGGCCTGAGCAGAGGCCCTCAGAGAGCTGAGGCCCAGCCGTGAGACGTGCATCCTCAGTCCACTGAGCAGGAGTGGCCCAGCAGCAGCAGCGCAAGGACCCACTGAAGAGGTGAGGAGATGGAATAGAGAACGGATGGGCTCTGACAAGATGAGAGCACATGGAGTGAGCGATAAGATGGACAAAGGACGATTCAATGTAGAGGGGTTGGGGGGACACACACAGGGGAAAGAAAAAGTGATGCTGGGGGTGGAGGCACAAAATGAGGATACAGAGGAGATGGGGATGGGGTCATGGAGAGTCTGAGGCACAGAGAAAGGGGTAGGTACAAACAGGACGGGACTTGAGAGAGAAGATAGAACAAAGTGGGAAGCAAGAGGGGCATAATGAAGGAAGATAGGGGTACAAGGTGAGAGAGATGGGGGCATAGGGTTAGGGGCTGGGGTCACAGTAGGTGTGGCACAAGACGGGGAGGAAGGGATGAGAACCAGGGTGAGAAAGGAAAGGAAAATGGTGATTAGCTAGAAGCAGGAGGGATAAGGAGGCTCATGTCTCAACTAAACCCTGCCTGCTCTCTGTCCCCAGGGACCTCGCCCTCCATTTTGACTATTCCCCCCAAGAGACATGGCCCCAGCCAGAGCAAGATTCTGCCCCCTGGTGCTGCTCCTGCTGCTGGGCCTGTGGGTGGCTCAGGTCCCAGTCAGCGCCAAGCCCAAACACATGACCTCAGCTCAGTGGTTTGAAATTCAGCACGTGCAGCCCAGCCCCCAGGCATGCAAAGGGGCGATGAGCAACATCAACAAACACACAAATCACTGCAAACGCCTCAACACCTTCCTGCATGAATCCTTCTCCAGTGTGGCCGCCACCTGCCAGAACCCCACCATAGCCTGCAAGAACGGCCAGAAAAACTGCCACCAGAGCAAGGGGCCTGTGTCCCTGACCACGTGTGAGCTCACCTCGGGGAAGTACCCAAACTGCAATTACAAAGAGAACGCACTGCACGCTTCTTACATCATAGCCTGTAACCCTCCTCAGAAAGGGGATGCGGAAAAAGTCCACCTGGTTCCTGTGCACTTGGACAAAGTCGTTTAGCTTTCCAGCCTTTCTCACTCTGGGTTTCCTTTCCTCTCCAGGCCTCTGTGCTGCTGCTCCTATGCCCAGAAGGTTCTCTTCCTTTCGTTTCTTGGGTCCTCTCCCAGCTCAGGCTTTTCTGAGGGGCAGCTTGGTGGGCTAAACTCCAGAAGAGGCGGTCTTCTATCTTTTTGTTGCTGTTTTCCCAGAAACGTATCCCAAGAGAGAAGCTGAGCACGCTGAGGGGAGGGGTTCTCTGGCCTGTGCCTGTGCATTTCTCTGCCCTGTCTATCATGGCAGCATGACAAGAGGAGGAAATGGACACAAGAGGCGGGTGGGATTTATGGACAGAGCTGTTCTGGTTCCTAAGACAAATGTCATAGTATTTCATGTTTTTCATAGAGCAGCCACACGAGTCCCTTGTGACAGACTTGATGATTTGCTTTCTTTAGGGATGAGGAAATTGAGGTTTCAGAAAGCTTGGTTAATTAAAGAGCTTGTGAAATTGGTTAGTAGCAGCACCTGGACTTGAACCTAAGCCTCCTCCTCTCCGTACAGTGCACTTTCTACTTTACCATTGGGCACAAAAAGGAGACCTCGGCAGCGACAAGAGAACTAGGTAAGAGTTCACCCATGAAGAAATGTACCCTGAGAGCTCTGGAGAGCCAATTGCTCTGTGTTGACCGCAATAAAGGTCATTACCTCTCTAGCCAAGAGACTGTTTAGGAGGTACTCCAGGATCTCAATTCATTCTTTCTGCCTCTCTAATTGTCCTCCCCCTTCTCCAGCCCATTGCTTTTCCCACCTGGTCCCTGGGCTGTCTCTAGCTAGACCCCCTCCTCCTGAAGGTGTAAGGTGAGGGAGTACCCCAGCTTCACCCCCTGCTCTAGGTCACATTTCCCTTGACCTCAAGGGACTTCCGTGGCCCAGAGCCTACTTGTCACAAACAGGCTGGTGGGAGCTGCCAGAGCTTCCTTCCTCCTGATAATCATCTCTCCTGCCTCGGTGCTTCCCTGGCTCTCCACTCTGGCAGTCAGCCCAGGCCGTTGAGGTTGAGATATGGAAATGCCACCTCCCTGTCCCCCTGGGCTGCAGACCTCATTTCTCCCTCCCGGTGAGCAGAGCTGGAGAAGCTATGGCTTTGTGTTGCCTGGTCCTGATAGTCCCTCCCACATTGCCTGCAGCCCCTTCTCTCTCCTTTTATCTCAATGCCAGACCAATGGCACCATGCCTTTACCTGCCCGCCCTGCTTCAGCATCCAGCTGAGTGTTAGATCTTCCCTCCCCAGCTAGGGAGTCTACCCTCTACCTAATCCTCCTAACAAGTATAGTGCTTCTTTTTCCTCTTACCAGAGTTAGAGGAAGCTTTGGAGCCATATGGAACTGGGTGTAAATCTGGGGTCAGCCGCTCATGGCTACAGACCTCGAGCCAACTCCCCTTTCTGCAGCTGTGTTTCCACATAGCAAAATGGGAGTAATATCACCTACCGAATAGGTTGCAGTGAGATTTAAAAATGACACAGGAGTCAGCTAGAAGAAGAGTCTGCAGGCAGAGTCCTGCTAGGTGGGCTGGGTGGTTTGAGACCATGAGGAGAGAAGGTAGGGAAGGGATGATCAACAGAAAGGAGAAAAAAAAACATTGAACAACTCAAGCAGAGTGTGGGGCCAATAAGTTAAGTCGTGAAAGTAGAGATGCACTAAATATACCACAGAGGGTTGAATGAAATATACATTGTGGTCAAATGGCTAAGTGTAAAATCTATACATCCTATAGAGACTATACTATACATTTATCATTTTAAGTAGATTTTCAACTGAGGTACAAGATATTTGGGGGTAGCTGATTTTCTCTTCACTTTCTTCTTTTTTCACAACTCTTCATATATTCTTTACTGATGATTTTCCATATGGATATTATGGTTTTGAAGACATCGTCATCACAAAATTTTTAACTTGTTAAAATTATGCCTTTAAGGCTCAAATGAGAAGAATTTCCAAATAGGACTTTTTTCTTGAAAGACTCCTGACCCAAACAGTATTAAATAACTAAAAATTAAACATAATTAAAAAGTAATCTGTGGTGACAGAGGTAAAAATCACCTTGGGGAGTACTGACTGAGAAAGAGTAAAAGGTAAGCTGGACTTGGTTCTTCCTTGGTCTGGATATGTTTACTTTGTGAAAACTCATTGAGCTGTACTCGTAATGTGTACTCACTGTATGTAAATTATACCTCAATAAAAAAAAATTACAGTGCTTATGGATTGTTTTATTTAACATGATAAATGCTAATACAGCAATTAAGTCTACAAAGGTTATATAATGAAATTATAGATAGAATTATCATATAATCTATTTTTATTGTTCTACCTTATACTATTTGCTAAATGAAATAGTACTTATACTACATATTAAGTTGTTATAAATACTTTTGGCTCAAAAGGCACATAGGTTCTTCCTAAAGAACCTTACACACTCTCTCCTATTATTTACATTGTCAACTAATTTTCCTAATTTTTTAACTATGTGAAAATTCATAATTGTTTTGTGTATAAGCCTTCATAACCATTAACTTATTACAGCATTTTTCTTAAAATAATATATATTTATGCTTCCACTGAGTGATAGAATTTCAACATTTTGAAAAGTTCATAAGGAAAATTTCACTCCAAGTTTCATCTAGAATGCTCACCACTATTTGAAAGTGACTGTTCAGATGTTAATAATAAATTGAAATGACCTGCCTTGTTCTCATTTCTGATGCTTTAACTGATTAGGTTTGACAGTCACCCATTTCTTCACATGATCTTGATCACAACCAAATTTGGGATGCCAGGAATAATGCTGAAATAGGCATACAGCCTGGCTGGTGTGGCTCAGTGGTTGAGCGTTGACCCAGGAACCAAGAGATCTCGGTTCAATTCCCAGTCATGGCACATGCCTGCGTTGTGGGCTCCATCCCTAGAAGGGGGCATGCTGGAGGCAGCCAATCACTGATGTTTCTCGCTCATCGGTGTTTCTATCTTTCTATCCCTCTCCCTTCCTCTCTCTAAAAATCAATTTTTTAAAATTTTTTTAAAGAAATAGGCATTTGACTATTCAGCCTCCCAAAGGTCAAGGCTGAGGTCCAAAATGAATAACAGGTTTAAGCCAGACACCAAGGCTGGCTGAACCTGATGCATTACTACCTTAAAACTGAAAAATAGGAAGAGAAGACTGGTTAGTCATGAGACATTTCTTTAAAAATATATTTTTATTGATTTCAGAGAGAAAAGGAGAGGGAGAGAGAGATAGAGATAGAAACATCAATGAGGAGAATCATTGATCGGCTGCCTCCTGCCCACCACTGGGGATTAAGCTCACAACCCAGGCACGTGGTTCATAGGTCTATCTGTGCTCAACCACTGAGCCATGCCAGTTGGACAGTTATGAGACATTTTTGTTGCTGGAGGTGGGTGCTTGGAAAGGGAAAGAGAATATTTAGGGATGTATTGACCAACCTTGTATAGAAAGCTGTAAAGAATTCTTTCGACCTGGCCCTAAGGAGCAGAAATAAAATCCAGTAAAGAAATTAACCTAAGAACTGGAGCTATAATGAGTTAGCTTTCCTAGGTGTGAGACTGAAGTAGAATAGGCAGGAGACTTTTCTACTTGACACTGCTTCCCCCAAAGTCTCCACACTCTGAAGTAAATGAACCACACTCACTGTGAAGACGGCCAATTGACAGTGTGGCTCAGTTGAAGCATCGGCCCATGCACCGAAGGGCAAAGGGTCGAGTCCCAGTCAGGGCACATATCCAGGTTGTGTATGGGAGGCAACTAGTGTTTCTCTCTCACCTCTCTCTCTCTCTCTCTCTCTCTCTCTCTCTCTCTCTCTCTCTCCCTAAAATCAATTTTTTAATTTAAAAAAAAAAGAAGAAGAAGGGTCATGCCCTTGAGATCAGGACCTTCTCACATGGGTTCCGTTTGCCCTCTTCATGGTGTCTGTGGCTCCAGAGGATAACCCTAGACCTACAGCGGCAGAAAACACCACCAGCAGCAACACCCAGGAAGCCTTCTCTTTGAGAGAGCCTGGACCCATTTCATCACATTTCTCCTCTGCTCCCACACAACCAGGCCTCCAAAAGAGCTTCAAAGACTTCAGATCGTCACTCTTTTAAAGTCCTTCTCCTGCCCCCCTTTCATCATTGGAGAGGTCAAAAGAGCAGTTACAGCTCCTACCAGGATGTTTACCTGTGCAGGACTCCAAAGCCAGTAAGCTTTGGAGACTTCATGAAGCCACAGGGACACGAGAAAATATTGCTAATGAAGCTCTGTAGAAAGTCCTACCCATAATGGAAATACACACTATGATGCAAAGTCCTCTTGACTTAGGGAGATGGGAATTTCCTCATCTATATCAAGGTAACCTACTTCATAAAGCACTTAGTACAGTGGCTGGCATGTAGGGAAAGTTTGAGAGGTGTTATCATTTATATTTATTACTGTAGTGTCAAATGTCGACTGGCAGCACCTATGATGGAGGAAGCAGGCCTGACTTCCATGACAGAAGAACAAAAAATTTAAACAAAGAAGATCAAACTCTTCCTCATTCCTCTTGCCAAAAAAAGGTCCTAGCCAAGAATAGATAAAGTAAGGCTCAAGGTCAGACAAAAACATTTCAAATTGTAAAAACAGAAAAAAGCTATTTCAATTTTTCCACACATCTGCATTCAGCCTAGGCAGGAGTACATGGGCCTTGATGAGGTTTGTCTTCATTTTGTCTATGTGGGTGTGTCTCTGACCAGTATTTCTCTTCAAGAACTGAGGAAAGAGAATAAGATAATCATGGGGCAAGGGCAGTAGGAAAGTCCTTCAGATGCTAAAAGAAAGAGAGAGAGAGAATAGACATAGAGCACTTGGAACAGTGACTGAAACATAGAGCCCTAGTATAGCTTAGCATGGTTGTTTTTATCATGGTTGTCTTTGTCATCCCTGGGAGGTCCGAATGCTGCACGCAGGCTTGTAGTGAGTTAAAGGCGACAAAACCCATGTACGCAGAGCCACATGCCTCCCTCTTGTTGGAGTGAAGACTACCCTTGAGGACAGATCCTACAGTCAGGAATAAGGGGAGACAGGCCACCCACTGAGGCAAGACCACAGTGGATTGGGTTCCCTGAGCCCAGCCAGTGTAGCACAGTGGTTGGGCATCAACCTATGAACCAGGAGGTCATGGTTTGATTCCCAGTTGGGGCACATGCTGGGGGTGTGGGCTTGATCCCCAGTAGAGGGCATGCAGGAGGCAGCCAATCAGTAATTCTCTCTCATCACTGATGTTTCTATGTCTCTCTTCCTCTCTGAAATCAATAAAAATATAAAATATATATAAAGAAAAGAATTGGGCTCCCTGAGAAGGCCCCAAAGAACCTTTACACAGTAAAGAAAAATGAACCTGGGAACAGAGGAGGCTTCCCAGAAGGAGTGTGGCCACTGAACTTCATGGGATCGTGTCTGAGGCTCAGGGTTCACAAACCAGACTCCAGGATATCTCAGCCATCAGCCTTCAGGGCCCGGGACACCACTTGGAGGAGAATCGCTCCCAGAGAGATTCCCTGTGGAAGCTTCTAACAAGGCTCCTACCTCAATCTTAGACCAACCCAGCTCCCCTGACCTGGTTGTTGATTCATTGCCAAGACCCCAGATCCCAACAAAAAGAACAAGGAGGGCATTCAGAGAAGCCAGGGCAAGG